TATCTTTTGGAGGCCACTGTTCAACTCACTGCAGGTGGAATGCCATCCCATGTGCCTTCAGAACATCCTGATGTGAGATGTTACTTACCAAGTGCCACCTGGGGTAAAACTTTCTGCTTTCCATACTCTCTCACATTGGTTGTTAGCTGACAGTGTATCATTAAATTGGACAACTGCAAAATACTTCTTCATTTTATTCTGAAGCTATGGTCACATCTACACCCTCTCTAACACACGCTATATGTCAGAGGCAGTTCCAGCTCAGGACATAGCCACAAAGGAAGCAGACAAAGCTCTGTCCTTGTGGAGTTGACATCTTACTGGGAGAGACAGAAAATAAATGAAATGAGCTGGGGTTGTGTCTCAGCAGTAGAGCATTCACCTAGCATGTGCTAGGCACTGGTTCAATCCTGAGCACCACTTAAAACATATAAATAAATAAATAAAAATAAAGGTATGAAATATAAGTGATCCAGTAAGAAAGAGTACGTTAAATGTGATAGGTTCAGATGTGGAAAATACAGTTTGTTAAATGGGATGAAGAGGGAGGCGCAATGGCGCGCGCCTGTAAACCCAGCGGCTCAGAAAGCTGAGGCAGGAGGCTCTTGAATTCAAAGCCAGCCTCAAACACTTAGCAAAGCCCTAAGCAACTTAGCAAGACCCTCTCTCAAAATATAAAAAAGAGCTGTGGCTGTGGCTCAATGGTTAAACTGAGTCCAATTCCTGGTACCAAAAATAAATAAGATGAAGAAAAAAAGCAGGAAAGGAGGGCAAGGCATGCTGAGGGGTGTGTGTGTGTGTGTGTGTGTGTGTGTGCACGCGCATGCATGCGCGCGCACCGGCACATGTGTGTAGAGGTGAAGATGCTTTAACACGGTCATGGAACATGGAAGGTGTCATCCCCAGAGGGCATTTGAGTAAAGACCAAAGGAGATGAGGAGATAAGACTGGAGTGTCTGGAAGGCTTCAGGCAGAGGCCCCACGCAAGTGTGCTAGGTGCTCCTGGCCCAGGGACTCAAGGGGAGGCAGGCAGAATGCGAGGTGAGATTGGAGAGGTAAAGGACAGGGTGGAGGGGACATGAGGACGGTCTGGCAGCCAGGGCTATGGTCCTGGCTTTAACTCAGAGTATCTGAAGATGGTTCCAGCTTCCAGTCATCCGGTTAAGCTAGGACATCTGCACTCACAGAGAAAAGATGGAATAGAAACCTTCACAATTTCCCTTTGCAACGTGAATACGAATTTCATGCTAATTTTTTTTTCAAAAGCCAACTCAAGCCTTAACATAAAAATTTAAAACCAAATATATTTCATTCAACAATACTACTTCTGAGTATATACTCACAAGAACTGAAAGCAGGTAATTGTATAAATACTGTTCATAGCAGTGCTGGGGCTCAGTCAATGGTACCCCCAACCATGGCACTTTGGCACACTGAGTACTTTGACCTAAAGGAGACAGAGAGGTCCAGAGGCAGCCTGGGGGGGCAAAGTGTTTCTCTGACCTTCTGCCCTCCTTCCTCCTGCTCCCCTCCATTCCTCAAAGAGCTGGCCATAAAGACATTCTCTGCCTACCTTGTCTGATGGTAGGTCCCAAGACCCTCCTTCCAGAGGGACGCTGCCCCATACGTGGGAGGAAGGAATGCCGCCCAGAGCAGTCACAGAGAATCTGAACAGACAGGCCTTGCTGAGTTCCCCCTGTCAGTCTAGACCAGTTGCCCTTCTATGAAGCTGTCCACACTTCATCCAGCCTAAGCATAAAAACTGGCCCATCTCCTTGTTCCTCAGGTCATTGTTTCAGAAGCCTCCTATGTCATATAAAACTCTGATTAAATAAATCTGCTATGCTTTTCTCTTGTTAGGTGTCTTTTTGAAGGACTTTTATGATGGATGAGGACAGGTACCACCTTTTGTGTACCTATAGCAGGATTACTCAGTCTCCAAAAGGCGAAGTCATCCAAGTGTCCATCTACAGAGAACAGACTGGATAAACAAAATGTGGATTTCATGATGTACCTACACTCTCATAGTACTCAGCCTTAAAAAGGAAGAGAATTCTAACATGTTGAAGTGTGGATGGATTTCAAGGACAGGGTGCTAGGTGAAATAAGTTAGCCACAAAAAGAAAAACACCATGTGATTCCACCTACATGAGCCATCCACTTAGATCTAGAGTCAACTAAAGCAGAGACACAGAAAGAAGGGTGGCTGCTGGGGCTTGGTGGGAAGGGGAGATGCCAAGGTGTTGTTTAGGAGTTTGGGTTTTAGATGAAGCGTGCTAGGGATGGAGGTTACTGTTGGTTGTACAATGTGAATGTGTCCAGTGCCACTGAACTATACACTCATAATGGTTAGGATAGTAAATTTTAAACTATATTTTTTCACAATTTTCAGAAATGAAAATATGTAAATAAAAATTTAAACACCAAAACAAATGTACCTCTTTTTCCCATGGAACAAACGTACATTTTTTTTTTTTTTATTCTTAAAGAATCTTGGGCCAGTGATAGGGCTGGGGATGTAGCTCACGCGGTAGCGCGCGCCTGGCATGCGTGCGGCCCAGGTTCAATCCTCAGCACCACATACAAACAAAGATGTTGTGTCCACTGAAAAATAAATATTGAAATTCTCTCTCTCTCTCTCTCTCTTTCTTTCTTTCTTTCTTTATTTATTTTGGTGCTGGGGATCGAACCCAGGGTCTTGTGCATGCAAGGCAAGCACTCTATCAACTGAGCTATATCCCCAACCCTTCTCTCTCTCTTTAAAAAAGAAAAAAAGAGAAGAATCTTGGGCCAGTGATATAGTTCGATGCTAGAATATTTGCCTCACACACATTAGGCCCTGGTTTAAGTCCCTAGCACCACAAAATCTTTTAGAAAGTAACAACATCAAGAGCAATAATAACATCTTGTAGCTTCCAAACCCCCTTCCAGAGCCACACAACACTCCTTGGAGTGGATAACAGGAAATACAGCCTCACTAAACAGAAGGAAAGGAAATTCTCATTTCCCTGCTTGTCTTCAACACTGTTTATGTAAAAATATTCTGCCCTCTTAGATGTTTTGACTTTTGGTATCCTCCTCCTAGGCCACCGGAAACCCTCAGGGTTAACTCTCTATTCTTTGTTTCTAAACTGCCACTGAAAGTCAGCATATGAAAAAGGATTTTCAGTGAAAGACAGTTCAGCAAGAGATAGAATCTCCATTTAATTATTTCCTCATCACTGCCCAGGCAGAGATTCACTGCAAGTTCTGCCAGTTTCTCAGCTTATAAATCAGGGGCCTAATGAAGTTTCCTAACATGTCTACCCCTTCCCGCAAATCACTCCTCTATTCTAAAGATGTGCCATGGATTCAAAACAGTAATTCTATTTGGTGATACGAAGTCAACCATCTCAACAAACTTTTCTTTCTATTACTGTATTTTATTCATTTCTTGTTTGCTTTGTGGTGCTAGAAATGCAACCCAGGGCAAGCACTCTACCACCCAACTACACCCCTCCCCCAGCTGCCTTTTATTGTATTTTAATTCCTCTATCTGCAGAAAAACTTTCTAAAAAAACTCATTTTATCTTACAATAAATTTATTTTTTTCATTAAAACATAATTTGAGATTTTAATTATGACTTCTGTAGTTACATTCTACATCCTTGAGAACAGATTATCTACAGAAATTATTTGGAACTCTTCTAAGAAAATTTGTCTATTCTCCCTATTTTTTCATTGTGATAGATCCATCTCATTCCTATTTCAAAATACAATTTTAGTATTGACATCGGACACAGATGGACATTTGTAAGACACACAAAATATGTTATCAAACTTTCTCAGAAAGCTGTTTACCCTGTCCCCAGCTGCCTGCAAGACCTAGCTGTCCCGTTAAAACAACCCCTTCAGTGCAATGTGGCTTAAGGTGCTTTGCCTTCTTCCACCCCTCTCCTTTATGATCGAGGTCTTTTTAATCATTTGTATGAAGTTACTCGTCAACCCCCCCCCCCCATTACTGTTGGCCTTTAGGATCATCATTGTCGAAATCTTAAAGAAAAACTGTGGAAACATTTTAATCCCTTTTGGAGACTTTTTTAATCCATAAATTTAAATTATGCCAACTAGGTTCCAGTTCTCCCACGCAGCCTCACCGGCGCACTGCAGAGCGGTTCCGGGTGCAGCAAGGAACTCGGGAGTCCCGCGCTCGCGCTCTCCCGCGCCCACAGTGTGGAGTGGCAAGGCACTTAGGAAGGAGTGGTCCTCCAACCTTCACCCTGCGCGGGCAGCGGTGGTTGTCGCTGCGGCGCGCGCGCGCCCCTGGGAATGTCCCCAGGTTCGCTCCCGGGGTCCCGAGCTGGCACTGTGTCCGCACGCGGAGGTACCTCTGGGCCCAGCCCGGGGCTCACCGGAGAAAAATCCCACCGACCTCCCCAACAAGTCCCATAGGAAAGCCACTTTATTTTCCAAGGCTCCCAACGTTAGGAAGGCTGCTCTGATGGGACATCCTCATCTTGCTGGGTCTCCTCTGCGGCTCTCGGTCACCTGGGAGCGTAGCGCGCCTTCCCTTGGCCGCAGGTTCGAGCACCCACGTCTAGGCATCCTAGACACCCACGGTTCAGCACTGAGGACAGGGCAGGTTCACGCGGGTCCCCAGGGTTCTATAGCTGTCCCCCAACCCTGCCGCCGCCTTCAAATGGTGGAACTGAGATTCTCCGGAAATCTAGGGGCTAGATGCTCGCGGGTCAGAACCCGAGGTCCTCTGGGGACCCCTGAAAGGCGAAGCAGGGACCCTTCTCTTCTCGCACCTGGCGGGGACCCCTAGCCCGACAAGCGCCTGTCACCCCCAGTCCCGGAGGGGGCGCGCCCGGTGGAAACGTTAGCCTTGCCCTCCCTCTCCCGGCTTCCCGAGTCACTTCCCGCCGCACGGTCCCCTCCCTGAGCTTCCTTGACCCCGCCCCGCCCCTAGAGCCCCCTCCCCGGTTTTCCTTTGTCCCCTCCCCACCTTTGCCCTGGGCTTCCAGAATCCCCTGCTTGACCCACACCCTGCCGCCACCGCTTGACCACTAGGCGCCCTCCCTTGAGCTTTTCTTGTCCCCACCCCGTCCTTGCTTCCTCTGTCCCTTCGCGGGACTTCTGCCGTCTCCTTTCTCCCCTCTCCGAGATTTCCCTTGTCCTGTCCCCGCCCCGCCCCCGTTTTTAAACCTGGCGCGAAGGGCGCGAGTAGGTGAGTGCGCTCCTCCAGGCGGATCGACGCGGTCCTGTCGCGGGCGCCGCTGGAGGGCGCGAGCTCCGCCTGCACCATGAGAACCGAGCCGGCTGCCGGAGCCTGGGAGGGGCCGGGGCGCGTCTGTCACTGTCCTGGGAACGTTTCCCGGAGGCCGTCGTCGCCACACGGGCCCGAGAGGTGAGAGTGTCCCGCGACCCGGGTGGACGCGTGGAGAGGCACGTGCCTCATTTAAACTCCGAGAGCAGCAAGCTGAATGCTCTGGCGTCGCTAAGCCCCCCAACCCCCTGCCCGGGCGGAGTCCCCAAGCTCGACGGTGACGCTGAGCAAGTTCTTTAGCCGGAGACCTAGAGGGCTACAACGCTCTGTGGGTCCCAAGGCACAATTCTGAAGTACAGAGGCCCAGAAGGTACCTGGCCAGGAAATGGACCTACGTTTGAGCTGGGAAATACTGACGTCTTGGGCCCCTAAACGAACTTTGCAAAGGGATCCCCTGCACTTTGGCTGTCACAAGGTGATAGTCTTTGTTTTCCCTGTGCCCAGGGCTTAGCGTTGGCCATCCTTGGGCACCAGCCCTTTTAAAAGTAATAAAATGAAAGGAAATCAGATCAGCTGGGGAAGTAGGAATGGGGTTGGGTAGGCTAGGCAGCCTGAGTGGAGAAACAGATCTCCTTTGTGTCATTCTAGAACTCTGTAGAACCAACTCTGAGAATCAAGATCCTTCAATGAGGAGGTGCAGTTGAAACTAGTGACAAAGTAGCCAGCTATAGTGGGAAAATCCTGAGCTAAAGAATCCAGCCAGGATTAACTGGGTCAGAAATCCTTCAACTCATGTGTTTCCTTTACTTTCCCAGAGTCTAATTGAAGGCAGAAAACTGAGAAATACACAGGAGAGAAACACATAAGTAGCACTGATCCAACCCTAGGCTGACCCAGACACTAGATAATAGCTCTCATGGTATTTAAAGGACAGCCGAATCCCCAGCACTGGGGGCCGGGGAGCCTGGGATTCATTCTCTCCTTGTACTTGCTTTCCAGTTCTAGCCCAACACCATGGAGACCCTGGACGCTGACTCCAGCAGATGCAGAACTGACCAGAACTGGAAGCCTGGTAAGGTTAAGTGTGGATGTTCTAAGTAATCAGTCCAGGCAGAAAGTGGCACCTTCTCTAAAATGAAAGGACCTTGAAGGGTCTCCTCCTCTGCCCCGCCCTTGGTCATCTAACCTAGAGATGCCTCAAGGGCTGGGAATTGGAGTCTGTGTGAGTCAGGTGTTAACCAGACCTGAGTTACCTACAGATCGGGCTCCTGGTTGCTTATCCTTTCTTGAAAAGCAAAGCCCTTATGGCACATCAGTTTCTTGGGAATTAAAAGGTATTTCTTCCATGTTTGGGTTTCCGCAAATCTGGAGGTAGGAAGGGGGGCGGAGAAGGCTGCCACCATAGAGAAAAATTGAGTGTCATACCATTAATGCATTTTTTGCCACAGAGCAAATAAGGACAGAGCTTCAAATGGAGTGTCCAGAAGGTGCAGCTAAAAGCCCCCACCTGCCGTCTGGCCCTTTCTGAAGTACTTTCCACCCAGTCTACAAGCACTCCTGGGATAACTCATGTTGTCAGAGCAAATACACTCAACAGAGGGGCTTTGTGAACAAAGATTAATTGCCACTACTTTTTTTTTTTTTTTGTTAGCCTGGTAACTAAATTGCTTTTATTCTTATTGAAGTAATGACTTCCTTTCATTTGCTATATTTTAAAATGTAACTTGATGGCTGGCTTGCTTATTTATTTATTTATTTATTTTTGGTGCTGGGGATTCAACCCAGGGCCTTGTGCTTGTGCTTGCTAGGTGAGCACTCTCTAGGCCACACACTGGGCCCTAATTGGATGGCTTTTAAAACACTGTAAGAGTTAATCTGGCTAGGAAGAACTGTGTATTTGATTAACATAACATATGTGGCATATGGCTTAATATTTAGTTATCTGTAGTCTGGTAAGAAAACTTGGGTGTGAGAAAATAGACCTTCACCATATTTTAATATTTAACTAATCTGAATACTAGAAGTTTTAATTCAGTTATTATTAATTAAAGAATCAAGCAAATAAAATCTATAACAAATTAATAAGTGGTATAATTTTTAAGCCTATTTTTTAAATACTGAGAATTAACCACCGAGCCACATCTTCCAGCCATTTATTTTATTTTATTTTTATTTTGAGACAGGGCCTCACTAAGTTGCTGAGACTAACTTTGAACTCATTATCTGCCTGCCCCAGCCTCCTGACTTGCTGGGATTACAGGTGGGAGCCACTACACCCAGCTAGCCTAAATCATTCTTTTTTTTAAAAAAAAAAAAAATATTATTTTTAGTTGTAGATGGACACAATACCTCTATTTTTATTTATTTATTTTTATGTGATGCTGAGGATCACTAAATTATTCTTAAATGCAATATCTAATAATGGCAAATAGTTCCTTCTTTTGCCTTCAAACAAGTTTTTTAAAGCAGTATTTTAAAGGAGAGAAAATATGTTTATAATTACATTCAGTTTTCTTTTAAATGAAATATATGTGTACCATATTTGTTGTTTGCAAGAATAAAATAAAAATATAATAGCACACAGGATGTAGTGGCTCACGCCTATAATCCCAGCAATCCTCCCAACTCAGGAGGCTGAGGCAGAAGGATTGCAAGTTCAAGGCCAGCCTCAGTAATTTTGCGATACTCTGTCTTAAAAAAAAAAAAGACTGGAAACATAGATCAGTAGTAAAACGCAACTGGGTTCAATCTCCCGTACCAAAAAAATTAAAATTAATTTTTTAAAAATACTGTAGCACATTGCCTAATGGCAGTAGGTCCCCCGCTCCTTTGTGACGAAAGTAAAGCCTACCTTGCAGAGAAATGTTCAGCCGCAGCAACTCTAGTTGGCTGTCACACTGGATGAAGCAGTTGGTCCTTCGATCTGGATGGAGGTGGAAGAAGTTCCTTGGGCTGTAGACTTTGCCGGCTTGTTCCCCCACCCCACCTCCACCCCCACCACCCTCGCCCAGCCCTTTGCAGATCTCAATTGAGGAGCAGAAAGGACTGACAGAGCATCAGGACCGACCGAGACCTAGGCTCAGGGTACCCTCTGCTCATCCGAGGGGCCCAGCGGGGAGCTAGGGGAACAGTTCTTGTCAGTGCTCCTCTCCCAACCACGCAGGCTCTGGGGCCCTGTTTAGTATTTCTGGGAGTGGAAGGGGTCAGGAGCCTGGGGTGAGGCCCGGTGACCTAAGGCAGAGCTGCCCGCATGCACGGAGATCCAAATTAGAATAAAATCTGGATTTGAGGGAAGGCCTCAAGGACTTGTGCCGTGCCTTCCGCAGTGGAGTCGCCCTCACGTGGTGGTGCCGGTAGGGCTCCTACCTCCTGGACCAAGTAGACAGTGAAAGACAGTCTAAATGCTTAAAAATGTTTTTGGTGCTGGGATGGAATCCGGGGCCTTCCATATGCTAAGCAGGTGCTTTACACTGGCCTGCACCCGCATCCCCCAGCTAATCCCTTCTTGACCTCTATTGCTTTTCCTTCCTGGCGACTTGCCCACACTGCCCAGGAGGTGATTTCTGGGAGATGTCAGAGGTGGTTCCTTGAAAGGGTCCTATCTTCCAGGCTCCCCACACTTAGCTTTAGCTGGTCAGAGGCACAAGTCACTATCCAAAAGTCTCTGCTGGAATCCACTGTCTGGATTTTCAGAAAACACCCATACCTTAAACACACTGTTTAACTTGTGTACATTTCTGTTCCCATTAATTATCAAAATGTGAATATTGAGTCTCTTCCCTCAGTGAGAAAGGATCTTGAATAAAATCTTTTGGAAAATAATCAGAATATTTTAACACTAGTATTTTATTTATTTTTTTATATTTTTTTATGCTTTTTTTTAAAGAGATAGCAAGAGAGGAGAGAGAGAGAGAGAGAGAGAGAGAGAGAGAGAGAGAGAGAATTTTAACATTTATTTTTTAGTTTTCAGCGGACACAACATCTTTGTTTGTATGTGGTGCTGAGGATCGAACCCGGGCAGCACGCATGCCAGGCGAGCACGCTACCGCTTGAGTCCCATCCCCAGCCCCAACACTAGTATTTTAAAAGCTGTGTATGTTTGTGGGACACAGTTCTTAAATTTTATGTAGGTACATTGTACATTTCAGAGTCTAGTAAGAATCAGATTTTTTAAGGAAGCTATCCTTTCTCTGAATGCTTTCCACTGTGCATCCAAGTTGCATTGTTGTGTGTACCCTGTCTCGTCCCAGGGCATGGAGTTCTGCTCAGCAGGACAGGATTGCTTGCAGTGGAAGGGTGTGCCTGGTTGATTAGGTATAATTTATAATCACCACACAGCTTAACACAGAAGTAATTTCCTGTAGCCTCCAAAGCATGCATAAGATTTTATTCCACAAAGCTTTACTTTTCTTCCCTCAGCCAATCACAGTTTATTATAAAAATAGGACTGGATAAGCTGTGATGTCTGCAGAGGTATCCAGCAGGCCAGTTTCCACACACACACACACACACACACACACACACACACACATCCCAAGGTTCCACAGGAAGGAATGGCATGAAAACTGACAGTTTCAAAATCCTCAAAGTCCTTCCTTGCAATGCCAGAGCAGTTTTGTCCCATTCCTAATCCGATTATCACTGATATCTTTGGAGTCCCAAAACTTGGGGTTTCTGATCTACCACTCTTCAGCCCATTTTCAAATCATCCCAGACTGGTCCATTCCAGAATGCCTCACATCCCTCTTTTCACAGTGACTAAGCTTTCAGAGACCTGAGATCACATGGTGACTCCTGCCCCTTTAGACCTTTGGATAACCTGGCTATGTGTCAGGGCAAATCCGCTTGGGTCCAGCACCATCAGGAGTTTGGTTAGAACGGGCGCCACCCTGGACGGGCAGAGTGGACCATCACCTCACTTCCTGGTCAGCAGTCAGCATGGACTTGCCTGGCTCTCTGCATGTCTCTTGTTCTCATTAACATTGTCCTTAGTTGCCTGGTCTCAGATGAGCTTCCCTCTCTGCAGTTTCTGATATGCAGGTGATCACAGGCCCTTTGCATGGTGCTGAGGGCCTGTGGTGTACTCCAATCGCCTTTCCCTCCCTCCCCCTGGTTGTTAACTTTTGTTCAGATCTTTACCATCTCCCACCCAGACTGGTGCCTCCACGCCCTTACTTCAAACCAGCCCATGCACAGCTCTCAGCAGTCATTATTATCCTTAAAATACAAATTTGATTGTTGAGCTCCTCAGCTCAAAAATCAGTCTGCAGGACCAAACCCAAAGTTAACAGTGGGTTTTAAAAGAGTCTAGGATCAGAACTCAGCCTCGCATCAGAGCTGTGTGACAATCACAAATGTCTCATTCATTTCACACAGGGCTCTCCCATCTGAGTCCTCTATCTTCCTGTCTCTCTGACTATGATGCTCCACTCTGCCAGGAGTGTCTCAGAATTCTCACCCATGTGCCAAGGATATTCCTGCTAGGCCTCAGAGCCCTATTCTGATCCCTTTCCCTGTGTTGAATCAGGAATGTGTTGCAGTGGTTTGCTCTATACCATAATTATTTGTATACACATGCATTTCTCTCCATTAGAATGCAAAACATCTGTGCTAAGACCCTGAGTCTGTATTCTCCATGGTTAGAAGCCCTTACAATGCCTGGGACATTGTGGTAGAAGGAACTATCTGATATTGCTAAGATGTTTGAAATTGGTACTGACAGCAGACTACCTCTATTTTTTCTTTAAAAACTTCAATGGCTCCTTAATTGTTTCTGTGTATGTATGTGTCTGTCTTTACAGTGTGAGCCTGGGGAGAAACAACAGACTTGGAGATCGAAGGGGGCCTTTGGGTTTCAGCATCCTGTCAGGTAATATATGACTTCACAGTAAGAAATGTATCATTTTCTTTTAACATAAGCATTAATACACATTAGTATCTTTGTGTACATTCCAAAGAAGTAGAAAGGAATTCAATATATTCTCCAATATTATTTAGTTTTCTTATTCAAGGAATTTCAAGGATATTTTGTTAGATTTCTGGAATCTATTCACATATTCATTCATTGACTTATTGCTTCATTTGCAAGGCGGAATTGGCCTCTCTCTGTTCTTTATGCTTCCTGTCACATATTATGCTTTGTGTTAAATTTAATTATATATGAATTATATATGCATAGGTAGTTATTTGCATAGATGCTGAAATACATTTTATTTCTCTCCTGGTATATAAGCTAATATGTTGTCTAGTGCAAAGTAGATCTTCAAAATGTGTGCGTTGCATATGGGGGCAAATACTGGGTACTGGGTATGCATGTGAGAGCATTTTCCTCCAGTAGCTCTTGGTTTGTCTGTTCCTGGTCCTGGTGGTGACCAGGACTCTCCTGGCTGTTTCCCACTTACATTTCATTCATTTTTAGGCAAGTGGCTCATGTTCTGGATTTTTATCTATCTGTCTCTCTCTTCCTCTCTCAGCCTTTCTCTCTCCATCTCTCACTTCCTTCATCAGAGTAGACCAACCCTATTCTTCCAGCCATCCTCTAGGTGCTTTTGCCCCGGTTACCCTGGAAGGCTGGAAAACTTCAATCTGACCCAAAGACACTGTTTTCTAGAGATGAACCTGAGAGCCCATCAGACTGGTTAGTGTGGTTTTAGAAGAGGAAATGTTTCCTTTGAGGGGGAGGTACCAGGGATTGAACTCAGAGCCACATCCCCAGCCCTATTTTGTATTTTATTTAGAGACAGGGTCTCACTGAATTGCTTAGCGCCTCACTTTTGCTGAGGCTGTCTTTGAACTCAGGATCCTCCTGCCTCAGCCTCCTGAGCCGCGGGGATTACAGGCATGTGCCACCACGCTCAGTGAGAAGGAATGTTTCTAAGTGTCCTTTACATCCATGGTTTTCAATCCTGATAGAATCCCTGGAGAAGTTTTTGAAAATCCAGTTGCTTGGATGGCTCCCCACATGCTGATGCACCTGTGCTAGGGAGAGGCCCAGCATTTGCATTTTTATAGGCTCTCCAGCTGATCCTAGTGTGCAGCTGGGGTTGAGAGCCACACCCTACTGCGTTCCCTGCAAGGATCACTTTACCATATCCCAGGCCTGCAATCATGGGTGCTGCTGGGACTCCCAGATTTTTGATTTGCTGAAAATGCTGCGAGTTGTGATGCATGAGCTGCATCAGTATAACTGTGTGTTGCAAACTGGATATACAATTATTTCATTTTATTTTAGACTTTTATTATAGAAAATTTCAAACAGCCAGGCATAGTAGTGAACACCTGTAATCCCAGCAACTTAGGAGGCTGAAGCAAGTTCCAGGTTAACCTGGGCATTATAGGAAGACTCAGTCTCAAAAATAAAAAGAGGGGCTGGAGATGTAGCTCAGTGGTAAGACACCTCGGGGTTCAATCCCCAATACAAAAAAAAAAACAAAACAAAACATTTTTTTAAACACACACAGAAATGGCAGAACACCCATGCACCCATCTCCAGCCTTCATAATTATTATCAATATTCTTCTAACCTGATCACATTACCATCTCTCCAAACTATTTATGTTATTGTTGATATATTTTAAAGCAAACCTGGATGTCCTTCAAATTCACCTGCAAATACTTCAGCATAAACACCTAATTTTTAATATGCCCTCAAACTAAACTCTGCTTATATTCTGTCCTAGAAGTACAGACCATATGCACCCTCTCTGTTGCACAGTCTCTTAGCTCAGGACTGTGGACACTTTGGGCTGGATAATCCCATGTTCTGGGGCTGTCCAGGGCTTTATGGGATCTTTAATAGCATTCCTGGCCTCTGCCCATGAAATATAAGTAGCTTTCTTTTTTCAATTATGATAACCAAAAATGCCTCCAGATATTGTCGGACATGCCCTGGAGGTCGAGAACCACTGGTCTCTTGGAAATTTTAAAAGTTAAAATTGTCATGTTTGTTTTCTTTTCTTTTTTATTTTTGGCAGTACTAGAGATAGAACCCAGGGGCTCTTTACCTCTGAGCTACTTTGCCAGAATGTTTTTTGTTTTTAATTTTTGAGACAGGCTTTCACTAGGTTGCCCAGGCTGTCCTTGAACTTGCAATGCTCCTGTCTCAGCCTCTGCAGGTGCTGGGATCACAGGTGTGCACCATGCCCTGTGTTATATGGCACACCATGCCTTTGCTCTTCTGTCTAGAAGGGGATGTTGAAATCGGCAGGAATCAGTCAAGACCCTTCCTGAGAAGTTTGCAGGGAACCAAGCATGAAAATTAATAAATGAGAAGTACAAGGACAAGAGATTATGGGGGATATTTAAAATGTGTATAACTTGAATCCCAAATCCCACAATACCTGGAATCAATTTTTATATATTCAAGCTTTTTTTTTTTCCTCTCTTTTTTCCCCCCTAAGCACATCTTTTCTATTTTGTCTAAGCCAGGGATCCACCCCTCCAGGTTCTCTTACAGTAACATTTGGAAAATTAGCTGCTTCCATGGATCAGAATATCAGAGTAAATTTTCCTCCAGAGCCCAGAGGGTTCCATTTTCCATGCTCAAAAGATGGGGGTGGAATGGGGCCTGGGTCCTAAATGGGACATCCATTATCCAAGAGGACTCAAGTTGTCCATTTAATCAGAGTGGGCCTATTAATTCTGGAATCCAGTGTTTTCAGTAGCATATTCCCTTTGTTGAAGTGCACCTTTTCAGGTCTAAAAATTGATTTGCTCATTCAGAGTTCTGAACTAGTGTGGGGTTTATTACCAAGTCCCCTATCTAGGTGGCCACAGTTTCATGTTCTACTAACTTACAATCCATTGTATATAGGGAAGGCAAAATCAGACAGGAAGATGGGGGAGTTAGCTGCTTCTGGGGAAAAGAGTCTTGGTAGTGTAGGCCTGTTTTCGGGTTGATTAATGATGTATTTGTTTCTTAAATATTAGACTTTATTTACCCATTTCAAAGCGTCAAGAATACCTGCAGAGTTCTGGAGAGAAGGTGCTGGCCAGTTTCCCCGTGCAAGCCACCCTTCATTTCTACAACGATGAGTCTGAGCTGGATTCAGATGAGGAAGAGCAAGGGGAGGAAACGCAGACCTACCATCTTCCGTGCCAGGAGTCAGAAGGTCACCAGGAAAATGGCCCAGGGGGACAGGGCAGAGGCGGGCTGGTGAACCCATCTAGAGAAGGGGATGGCCTAAGGGGCGGCCTCCATGGTAAGGGTCAGCTCCCTCGTGGTGACCCTCCTGGGGGCAGTGAGTGCGTCTCATCCAAATGAATTAGGTCTCTCCCATGTCTGCCCCACTGGTCCCTGGGGCTGCTGCAAGACCCCTGCTTGTGTCCTAGAGACAGCCCCGGCAGGACATGACATCTTCCACTGGATATTCAGAGGCTGGGGACTGCGTGCGCTGCCTCTGCTTAGCAGGCTGAGAAGGCAGCTTTCACTCTTTCTTCTCCTGGTGATTCTTTTTTGGTGCACCCACGCAGACCTTTTCAGAAAAGGTGCCAGGACAAAGAGTCTGTGTCCACAGGTTGTTATCAGGAAAGGCCAGCTTTCAAAGCTCACTCAGCGTCATCATGCTCCTCATCAGATTACAAGTGATTCCTGTTAACAGGCTGTCACCCATGCTTGCCTCTCACTTAAACGGAGTCATAATGCAGCTATTTTTGCTTTTGCAAAAATAATTTAAATATTAAATCCCAATTTCAACTCATTGTCCAACGTTGATTTGGTTGCTCAGTAGCATTCTGAAAACAGTTTTTCCTCATGACAAAAAAATCAGAACCCTAAATAATTTACACATGAGTAGCAATAAAGAAGATATGAATTTCTCTGGAACAAGATAAAAAATGTATGTGATACTTATATAAGGGTTGTGTGTATGAATATATAGGTTGTAGAGGGTTAACATTTTTACTTGGTAACTACTTTAAGCTTGTTACTTGAATGAAATAACATTTTCCAATTAAAGTATCTGGTATAAAATCATTTTGTATTTTACTTTTTGTTGATCAAAAATGATTCCTTGAGGTTTTTTACTTAATTATCCTACTTATAGTTGTCTTCCTGTGTATAGTATATTACATAAATTTCTACTTAACATAAATATTTTAAAAGAATATATCACAATCATCTGTTTTGGCTAAGATGTTCTTAGACTTAGTTCCTGTGTTAAAGTTTTTCAGGATTCTTTTATATTCAACAATTCTAACATTATATTATTTTTCAGAATGTAGAAAAAAAATTATAGGAAAGAAAACAAAATGGCTTACAACCTCACTGCCCAAATAACCTATTAATATTTTTAAAAAGGGAAGTTTGTGCAAATATTTTAACAATCTAAAGAGTATAGAAAAATAAACACTGTAAAGTAAAAGTCATCCTTCTGTTTTCTCTTCTCTCTGCCTAAAAGAAGCCAACATCAATTATTGTTTTTTCTCCGTTTTTTTTTGGGTGATCATTTGATCTTTCAATTTTTTTGTTATTGTATTTAAACAAATGTAGGGTTATTTTTTTTCAAGACAGTTTTAATCTTTTTATTTTATTGTTTCTTTAATCTGTTTAAAGTTTTTTTGTTTTTTTTTTTACAAACTTCAAAACAAGTACACCTGGGCTTCTTCGAAAAAGGAATTGAATTCATCTTCTACTTTGCAGGGTTTCTGTAGAACAGTACTAGAAGTCTTACCCTGTCTCCTTCATGTGTTGATTGAGATGAAGATTAAATAATCACACTGCCTTTGTTTAGTTTTCTTAATAAATCAGTTTTACTGAGAACTAAAATCTAGTCCAATCACCATTAAGAAACCAAACCTAGTCTGAATTCTGGCACCAGACTCCAGAATTCAAAATATAATGTGTGGTAGTTTTCTAAAATTACTTAAAATTGGGCCAGCTTAGTGCAAGTACTGAAAACCACACACTTTTGCCGTGGCGTGCTACAGAATCACAAGTGCTGCAGGCCTGATATTCATGATGCTGAAGTTCAGGGCTCTGGAGATCTCACTGAACATTGTGGTTACATGAATTAACTAAATAATGTCCCAAACTTCCAAGTTCCACACTGCAAAAACACTTATTTTTGGTTATCATGTATAAATTGTGCATATAAGTGGGGTTCAGTGTGGTATTTCCACACAAGCCCTAACAGAACCCACACTCCCTTTACTCCGCCCCCCTGAATCCCTAGGAGTCACCATGTGACACACAGGTTGACTTTCTGCTTCCACGTAGGAGAAAGAACATGTGCTACTTGCCCGCCTGGCTTATTTCACGTAACATAACATCCCCCAATTCCATTCATTTTACAGCAGATGACTGGATTTCATTCTTGATGGCAAATGACATTCCAATGTGTATGGAGGCCACATTCTCCTTATGTATTCACCTGATGGTGGGCAGCCAGGTTGACCCATCTCTTGGTTATTGTCACTCGGGCTGGGAATGTAGCCCGGCGGTAGAATACTTGCCTAGTACAAATGAGGCTCTAGGTTCGATTCCCAGTACTGAGGGGAGAACCAATCAGCAGATCTGAGCAGTGGCTGCCCTTGGGGACAACCTTTCTCTCCTCAGTTCTCCAGGCTCCATCATTCCCAATTTTCTTTCCCATTTAATTCCTTTTCTGCAATAGCTGGCCTAACACTGATGCAGTGCCTGGACTGCCCATGTGGTGCCGTCCCTATCTCTCTTCTCTGAGACGGTTCAAAATTTGTAACCAGTCTGGCATGGTGGTGCTCACCTGTAGTCCCAGCAACGCAGGCGTTGAGGCAGGAGGATCACAAGTTCGAGGTCAGCCTCAGCAGTTTACCAAGATCTTGTTTCAAAAATTTTAAAAATGACTGGGAATGTAGCTCAGTGGAAGAGCATCTGTCCAGCATGTGTGAGGCCCTGGGTTCAATCCCCAGCACAAAAAAAAAGTCACCAAGGAAGCCACTCCAATAATGGTTAGGAGATTATATATATATATATATATAAGAGAGAGAGAGAGAGAGAGTTTTTTCTTTCTTTTTTAAAGAAGTAATTTTTGGTTGAGGCTGACTTCTCTGACACATCCTTCTTTGGCTGGCTCACAAAAAGTAACTCCTGCTGATGAACTTCATTATCTGAAGCAGAATCTTGCCAATACCATAAGCTGAAACCCATTAGAAACATCTGTACTTTCACTAGACCGGCTAGCAGACCTAGCTTCAGCCGTATAATTTTCAACTCTCCAGCCACGTTTTTTCTAGGGGGCAGTCTGTGAAAGCACACATTTCAGTTTGTTGCCACATTGTTTCCCGTTTGTTAGTTTTAACCAGTCTTACTGTGGTGTTTTCCCTGTGTTATGTTTCTTCTTGGACTTTTCTACTAAAGAAGGAATTACAAAACAGCTAAACATTTATCATCAAGTTTAATGAAAATCTGTAAAATTCTGTATTGATGATCACATTATTTTAAACATACAATTGATAATATCTGAGATATAATACATGCTTTACTAAGGCTCAAAGTAAAAGATTTAATGACTTATTTTTGATTTTTTATTGCCTTTGTCATTTCTTTTTACCTTGTCATGGGACTGATTAAGACATATTTTATGAGGATATGTGATATTGTATATCATACATATTATAATAATAATGTATTATTAGCAGTGGCTTCCATTTCTCCCTTCTCCCATTCCCTGTCAATCACTGATCTACTTTCTATTTCTGTGGGCTTCTCTGTGCTGGGCATTTCATGTAACTTGAAACATACAATATGTGGTCTCTGTGTTGGGCTCTTTCACTTGGCAGTTGTCAGGCTGCAACTGTATCATGTGTCAGTGCTTCATTCATTTCTATTCATTTTGTTTTGGTACCAGGGATTGAACCCAGGGCGCTTAACATCTGAGCTTCATCTTCAGTCCTTATTTACTTTTTATTTTGAGACAGAGTCTAAGTTGCTTAGGGCCTCACTAAGTTGCCGAGCCTGGCCTTGACCTTGTAATCCTCCTGTCTGAGCCTCCTTTCCCCCATAAAAGCAAAGGTGTTGAGTAATATTCCATTGTGTGGATATACCAGATTTTACTTATCCATATTTTTAGCTCTTATAAACAATACTCCCAGGATCATTTGTATGCAAGTTTTTGTGTGGACACATGTCTTTACTTCCTTTGGTAATGTACTTTCCAGTGGGATTGCCTGATCACATGGTAACTGTTTAATCAAGGAACTGCCAAACTGTTCACCAAGGCAGCTGCCCCTATTGACATTCCCACCAGCACTGTAGGAAATTTCCAGCTATCCTTATCCTTAATAAGACTTTCATCACCTGCATTTCTGGTAATAGCTGTCCTTGTGGGTACGACTTGGTATCCCACTGAGGTTTTGATTTGTATTTCCCTAATAACGCATGATGTTGAGCATCTTTCATGGGCTTCTAGGTCATCTGGGCATCTTCTTTGGTATAATGTGTATTATAATCCTTTGTCCATTTTCTAACAGGTATTTGCCCTCTCGTTTTGAGTCATAACAATTCTTTACATATTTTGGATACTAGACCCTTACTAGACATATCGTTGGCAAATATTTTCTCTCATTCTGTGGTTGGACAAAACTTCTTTTGGGTGAATGTTAATTTAATTATAACTGGATAGCATATGAATTTTTGATTAAAAAAAACAGGGCTGGGGTTGGGGCTCAGTGGTAAAGTGCTCATCTTGCACATGTGAAGCACTGGGTTCGATCCTCAGCACCACATAAAAATAAATAAATAAAATAAAGGTATTGTGTCCATCTACAAGTAAAAAAAAAAAAAAAAAGCCAGGATTTCTCATAGCTTCCACAGTCCCTTTGCACATCCCTGGGCTGGGCTGCTTGCTCTGATCGGGGAGACCACTTTGCCTTGGTGACAGCATTGTGCTTACGTAGTCACCCACATAGACTCGATTTCTATATAGTCCAGTTATCTTGACTCAGAGGAAATTTTGTTCCAAGTAAGGAAATAGGTATTTGTTTTGCAAATGTTTGTCATTGGCCAAAAAGTGATAGCATCTTATAGATGGGCCAGCAGGCCCTAGGGCACCCACCTCCTTTCTCCCCACTGGAACGTTCCTCTGCACTGAGCACAGAGATTTTCAGTAAAGGAATCTTCATGAAAGAACAGAATACCTGTCATCAAGGAAGCCTACAAAAGTTAGAAATGTGCACCCCCACCAAGCCAATAGGCCCAGGGAACGTGCTTTTCATGACTCAGAATTAAATTCTGGTGGGCTTCATAAAAAAGAACTTGAGACTATCTTAGATAGATGTTACATAAGGCATAAAATTGCTCTCTGGAATTATATACATGATCACTATTTCTCTTTATATTCCAAAGGTCTATTTGAAGAGTATATTGAAAAAATATGATTTCTTAGAAGAAAATTCATAGCAAATTTTTATAAATATTATTATGAAAATAATAAAGCCTTCCTTTTTCCTTCTAAGCTGGTTTTTCAATGTAAACTCTTTAATGAATAATAATACACTGACAGAAAATTGCAGATGTCATAAGCTTGGTATATTTTTGCAAGTTAAGACACTCATATAAACACAGCCATTTCCCTAGGATGACCCCTCGTTCTTCCTTCTAATCTCCACTCCCGCCAACACTGCAGATTTGATTTGCTGGTTTTGAACTTGGTATCTATGAATTCAAATGGTATGTGCTCTTGTTTCTGGCTTCTTGCTCTAATATGTTTATAAGAATTGTCTGTATTATAATGTGAAGTTGTGGATAGCTCATCCTCTGATTGATGGAACTCCATGTGAATACACAACATTCTCTCATTTTCCTGTCGATGAATATTTGGCTCCTTTCCCACTTGGTGGATACTAGAAAACACTGCTTTGGCCTGTCCTATCTATGGCTGTTAGTCGACACATGGGCCTGTTCTGCTGATGTGTTGCTAGGAGTAGAAGCAAGAGAACCGTTTTTGTAAGTCTACCTGTAGCTTTGGTGTCCTCTACACAGAAAATAACTTGAGAATT